CAACACCCCCTACTCATAAACCATGGACAGTAGCCCCGACTCCTAACCCATGGCACACAGCAGCCCCTACTCCTAAGCCATGGCCAGCTACACCCCCCACTCAAAAGCCATTGCCAACTACACCACCCACTCATAAGCCACCCCCGAAACCAGCACCGTCAGGCGAGGTTAGCTCCTGCCCATATCCAATCAACAAGCTCATAGACTTCTTTGCCGAGGTGAAGAATCTCCTTCATCAGGTCCTTGGACAAAACACAGCTTGAGCAGCAGGACAGGCRTGATCCAGGTCACAGTGCAGTGCCCAGCAACCATTTCCTGCTGGGGAAATGCCTGCTGAACCAAAGGCAGCCTCAGCGTCAAAAGCCTGCTCTGTCCTGCCCACACACTTCTGCTATGTGCAGGCAGATCCCAGAGTTGAAATAGTTGTTTAGTTGTTGAAATAAAATTTTCTATGTTCACAGGGAACCATYTTTTCAGTGTAATTTTGACTCCAGGGCAAGGCAAGGACTGCCACTCTCAGCACCTGCAGAATGAGCCTGAGGGCAGAGCCATCAGGCACAAAGGGACAGAGTGGCTCCAGAGGGCTCCAGAGTGGCTCCAAAGCGCTCCAGAGTGGCTCCAGAGGGCTCCAGAGTGGCTCCAAAGGGCTCCAGAGTAGCTGGACAGAGAGGAGAGTGCTCTGAGCCCCATGGGCTGGAGGAACCTGGCACATCAAGCCTAGGAAGAGGATAAGAAAATATTTTTATGGCTCCAGTATTTGTTGAAATCTCCTAGCAGATATTGCTACCTCAGTGCACTCAAGATAAATTCCTCTCATATTAACCATTTGTGAGAAGTGTTGCTCTTTTACAACACTGACACTGCTCCCTTATGTCATTTCCCCTCTCATCAGTAACAAAATAGGCATTTTGCTTTGCAGTGCAGGTATCAGTGTTTTACTTGTGCTTTTTCATTCATCTGGTCTAATTTTCRCATCTCACCAATGCCTGAAATGCACCTTGTTCTGTAAAAGCCCTTACACAAGAGAAAAAAATAGTTATGGGARGGCCTTCAAAATCCCCCATAAAGAGCACACTTTGAGTTGTGACATTTGCTAAGCACAAGCAAACCCAAATTTCCATAGCTCGTGGTCCCTCTCCCGACTCCTTATCTCTCATCCGACGCCCGGACAGCCYTTCCCACCTGGTACTGGCGGGGCCGCCCAGGATTCCTTCGCAGCAGACCCCGGCTCCAGTCTCCTCCCTCCCCCGGGAAACGACCTTGACTGCAGCGCGCCCCTGTCTGAGCCCCGGACACCTCCCGGCCACCTGCTCCGCACCTCCGGTGACTCCTCCGCCCGGYCAGGGATGGGAGGGACATGCATAGYTTCTCTGGCAACCTGTTCCAGTGCTTCAGCATTCTCACAGTGAAGGATCTCTCCCTTGTATCTTTTCTCAATCTACAGCTCCCATTTAAAACCAAACCCCATTCCTAYAGAACCTAAGTCTAAACCAATCAAACCAATACTGTCACACCCTTAATCAATAGCTGGCCAAAACTCACTTGCACTCAGTGAAAGTCACCTTTTACATTATGCCTAGCACCAAAACACAAAACCACTAGGGGAAAAGGGAAAATATTTATTATGTCACGTATTATTCATGTCATGGCATGAATTCCAGCTGTTCTCCACCTCAAGAAGTACCACATTACAAAACATTCTCCTGTCCCCCTGCATTTAAAACCCCTGCCCACTCCCCACACTGCTGCATCCCCCAGTAAATACTTCCAGTCTTGCCGTTCAAATCACTTACAGCTCGCAMAAGTGTAACTGAATCTATGCCAATTCTTCAATTAATTCAGTATTCTGCTCTGCAACTTTCTTACCCCAGCTAACATGAAAAGCAGGCATCCAGTTGTACACCAAGGTAGCAGAAAAGCTGAATGCTTAATGGCCTAAGTAGTTCAATTCACTGATGATTATTAAATCCTAGAAAGGTTTCCAAAGGGAACTGTAGGCAGTTACCCATCACACAAGCTAAATGTGGGACCATGAGCTTTATTATAGAATTAGTGAAAAACTTTCTAATGTTTGATTTTCTTCAAGGGAATAGATAGTTTCAACAGACACTAAAAATGCTTTGTTAAAAAATCGTATTAGTCATGCCTTACTCAGCTAACACTTAGCCCAAATTGARTCTGTTCCCTGGAATTCTTCCAGCTATCCACAACAGCTGCTCTGCCAAACTGCCCTGTCTTGAGCCTGATATTTTCAAATCTGGTTCTTCCAATACCCCAGTCATCTGAGTGCAATGAAACCTTCAAAAACTGGATTGTCACCTGTGCTAAGAAATGCATTGAAGCTTTTCATCCTCAACCTTGCAAAGCAACACTCTTGCTCAATGAGAATATTTATCACATTATACATTCATACGTATATGTATATATAAAATGTGGAACTAAGCTGTTTTCTCTACTTGGAACCAAAACCTCACCAGTACTTCAAAAATCCCCACATCAATTCCACTTTATGGCAACCTTGGGCACATTTGATGAGTACATTGTTGACATTTTAGAAAGCAGGGCAGAGTTTTGTGRTTGCCAATTACAAGGTTACATTGCATTCCTAGTTCTGCCAGGGTATAACCTACAATTAAAAAAAAATAAAACCAGTAACCCAACAAAAATTCTCAACAGCAGGAAAACCCTGTGGGTGAAATATTTGTGGGTTCTTTGGGTCATTGGAGTCAACTGTACAAGAGTACATTTGAGGCACACAATAGCACTCCCCCAAAACGCATGATCTGTCAGGTCTGATCGTTTACACCATCTACATAATTGTATAAATTGCTTTCACTTCCTGTTTGCTATGTACAACTCAAAACAATCAAAGAACAGAGTTTGGGCCTCATTAGCCCATATAACCTATTCCTTAGCACAAACATGTCATTACATTAATTAACATATTAATGCTGATCATTTAAGGCTGCATATCATATTAGGGTAATTAATCCTAGAATGGCTTGGGTCAGAAGCAATTTTCAAGATCATGTCATTCCAACCMCTGACATGGGCAGGGGCATCTTCCACTAAATCAAGGTGTTCAGAGCCCCATCCAACCTAGCCTTGAACACTGTCAGGGATGGGGCATCCACAACTCCTCTTGGAAACCTGTTCCAGTGCCTCATCACCCTCACAGAGAAGAATTTTTTYCCTAATATCTAATCCRAACCTACTCTCCTTCCATTTGAAGCCATTCCCYCTYRTTCTGTCACTCCATGCTCTTGTAAATAGTCTCCATCYTYGAAGGTTCCCTTCAKGTACTGGAAGGCCACTGAAGTTTCCAAAACTAGATTKCATAGAAGTTAATCTTACAAGTCTTCAGATAATCATGCAATGCATTGCAAATTTTAATGGTATTCATTTTACCTGCTCAAAACAGGGAATTAGGCTTTGATTTTCCTGAATCTGAGTCCCAAACAAAAAACCAACTTGTGCAAATGAATTCTGTAAGAAACCAATACAGTTCCTTCTAGTAAAAAGTTGCTATTAGAYTTGTAAATTTATTAATAGAACAATATACAGCAAAACAGTGAAGTCTCCACACATAACGGAGGAACCTCTACAAAACCAACAACATGTTCCACCTGCAAGCCATGTTCTACTTGGAAAATCACTGCAGATGCCCCTGGCCAGAGATGAAGGGAAGAGGTCGTCCTCTTCAGAGGATTATCCTGCCTGACTGAGGGACTCTGCTGCCTGAACTCATGTTTTTTTGATCTCTGTTATGGGGAATAAATATCCTTTATAGGATTTCTCTGAGCAGCTGAATTCAGCTTCATTTCTGAAAAAAGTGTTCCCATGAAGTACAGTTAAAACAATCACAAGAAGCCCTTTGTTTCCATTGCACCTTGGAAAAACCTACAGACTAGGAGAGGAAAAAAGTCCCAAATCTAAAAAAAATATCTTCTCTACAAAGACAAGTGAGTGGGGAACTCTATGAGCATTACTCACTGGAACTGCACTGTTACCAGTGTCTTGAGGTCAGAACTTGATGGAATACTTTAGTAGTTCCTTGCAAAATGTGTATTTTTCCACAAATACTTCTATCTAATGCAGTGTTGGTTTCAATAAGCGATCCAAGCATTTATCCCATGAATAATACCCACAGAGTCAATTCCATGTGTTTCAGTGACTCCAAAACATTGTCAAGTGAATCACAAACATGCCAAATTCCTTTAGTTCAGACATGATTTTAACCCAAACTAAAATGCCACAAGACATTTAACTTTGCATATGACATCAAGGGAAGTTACAACAGTTGTCAGAGTTTCAAACATCTCTATTCTGAAGCATTTAATATGCAATGTGTAAGATTGGAATTCTTCATTCTACCCACAAGGGTAGAACTCTTCGACTTTACTTAGAACCATGCCATTCCTGTCTCTCTTTGAAACTGCTTTAAAATTTTCTGGGAACACAAGACTCTGTAATGATACCAAGTCATCACACAGTCAATAACAAGGTATTATCTTTCTTTTCTTCCCCCATCTCTCTTTTTTTTTTTCTTTCTGGACTCAAGTGCACATTAATTTTCATCTGGAACTTAAATTTTGTGAATATAAAAGAAAGAGCATTTCTATGTTAGCCCCCCAAATAAGACAGCACCCTCTTGTGCTCTGAGAGAGCACAAGAACATATCTGGAGAATAAAAATATTTCTGGATTATTCATGGAAGTTGCAATATAATTCCAAGAATGGATCTCCTCTACAAATGCTTCATGGAGCAGCAGCATGGATAAGCATGATCCATGAACAACACAACCTACCAGCACACACCTTCTGTGTAGCCACACACAGGGGAATGAAATTGCCACTGTCTGACTGGTGCACAGCCCCTTCTCTCATCTCAAATAGGAAAGCAGAGATGTTTAAAAATWAAAACACTGCAAATTCTCATTTCAAATTCTTTGAAAACAGCTGTTAGTGATSTGGCTCAGAGAAGAACAGCTCAAGAGGCCTGCCCTTGTCCAGGCAAGCAGCTGGGTTGAGGCAGGAATTCGCATCAGGTCAGGAAAAGGGTGGATTTTGTCACTCACCTGGAAGAGGAGGCTCCACTGTTTGCTCAGGGCACCCCAAAGAATGGGAGGCACAGAGCAACCATGGATGGAAGACCTGGGAAAACAAGAACTGAAGTTAGACACAGGAGAGTTTGGAGGGAGATAGAGGACAAACCCAAAAGGAACTAAATTTTGGTAGCATAACCCCTGTCTGCAGYCATCCC